GGGGGGGGGGGGGGGGGGGGGGGGGGGGGGGGGGGGGGGGGGGGGGGGGGGGGGGGCAGTCTCCGCGTCCTAAGCCCTTGAATTGTAATAGTAATCGCGCGATGCGGTTCACTACGGCGGATGTGTGCGCTCGACCTCCCCCGTCAACATCCGACACGAGATGCCGGTACCGCTGAGTGTATGCAACACTATCTGCCTGTGGGGACGAGAGAGCGCGATGAACAACATCACCCACAGATTTCGAAGAATATTCCGTTGCTGTATCGATCGCATACTGCTTGTGAGCTCTGTCGATCTCGTGGTTGGTCCTCTTTCCCTTTTCCGTGGCACATCCTGGCCAAGTTGACTCGTGATTGCCTGTTGCTAACACAACTCGCTCCACTCGCCATTTTATATTCGCGACGCCAGGCGGCAGCGGTACGTGCGACGAAGGGTTTGAGGGCAATGCCGGAGGTGACGACTCCACGGGTTAAGCCGGCAGTGGAGCCGGTGATCCAGCGAGCGACGGGTCGGCGAAGGTACCACCCTGGCTGGAACATTTGCACAAACTTATCGAGGAATACATGAACGCAGAGGTAGTCGACGGCGAAGATCTGAATTTTGCTGGTTTGGCGCTTGGCAGCCGCTTTTTTCCCTGGGCGAACCTCACCGAGATGCTCGTATCGGTATGGGCCATAGTCTGCAGGCCGTCGCGCAAGTCGCTGCAGATGCTACTCGATCTTCTCCGTGTGGAGGACAGCGAAGGCGGCAGGTTCGACCCGAGAGACGTTCCCGAGTCGTCCGAGCATCTCGTCAGTAGGATGCGGCGGCGCTTGCCGCTCCTTCCTGTGGTACGGCGAGAGGTAAAAGGCAAGGACGACAAGGCTGCGGAGGTAATTGAATGCCCTTTCAACCTCATTTACCAGCGTATGCTCGAATGCCCTCGGGTAGTGGAAGAGCTTCTGAAGAATGCGGATGGGAAGCAATTGTCTAAGGAGGAGCAACGTCGTAGTCAGGTACCTGATTTCCACTTCACTCCGATTGCCACTCGGGAGTCCGATGGAGCAAGGGGCGGCTTCATGAGCGGAGACATCATGATGGCTTCTGCACATATGGGCCTGGAGTGTGTGGCCACAACGGATGGGGTGCGGCTCATGGTGGGGGACACGGCAATGGTAAGGTTACCAGCGTTCGGGAACAGCCCACACCCCTGCCGGATTGCTGCGATCTTCTGGCAGAATACGCGGAAGCAGAGGCGACGCGCCCTCGAGCTTTCAGGGGGGAATGGGGGGGGCGTTTGCCGGTGGTTTCAGGCTTTGGATACGATTGACGAAGAGGACGAGGATGCAGGGTCCTCGCCCTCGTCAACCTCTACAGGCGCATCGTGGCAATCGTCGGAAGAAGATGGGGAGGAAGAAGAGGAAGAGGAAGAGGAAGAAGAAGCGGAAGAGGAAGGAGAGGACGAAACCCAACAGGGGCGGCCGGGGGGTGGGGTCCAAAGCACTGGTCATCTTGTTGTGCGTGTCAATCCATTCGTGTTCAGGAGCGACATGCCCGACGGTATCAAGAGCAAGCGCCGACGAGACCAAGATGTGGAGTCTGTTTGGGAGGTCACGAACCAGGAGGAGAACGTCGGAGTGAGTGCACTGGTAGGTCCGTGCATGGTGTTGCCGGTGGGTACCAACGTACCTAAGCCCGCCGATGGTACGGCCAGCATGCCGACCTTCGTCGGAGAAGGTTTTGCAGCTACAAACCCCCGCACCAGGCGCTTGCAGGTGGTCAAGAACGTTTGGAGAAGGTCGGGGGTGCACGGTTGGTTCAATGATAGGCGATCGTCAAGAGCATTCACAAACGAGGGTGGTCTTCCCGTTGTATCGATGGGCTTCCTTTGTTCCAGCGATGCTTTCAACTACCTGTCTGGCAATAGGCAGTACAGTGTGCGCGGTACATATCTTGCCCCGGGATGCACCTCGTCCGCTCTTCTCCGACGTCTGCGATCGTGGTGGATGGTCACTGTTGGAGTAAAAGCGCGATGGGAAGATGAAATGGGCCCCCTGACGTCTATTCTTCATATGCTCGAGAACGGCTGCCGCGCGCGCATGAGGACCAGTGATCAGGAATCCCACACGGTGAGGAATGTACTCAGATGCACGTAGTTACTTGAGGTTGGCACGCCGGCCGTCGAAACAATGTTCGGGCATCGTCCCATCACGTGTTGATGTCGAATGTTGTCGGAAAACGCAGGTGGATGTAGAATGGTCGTCATGTGGTGTCGATACATACAAGGAGAGTTGCTTACCGGTGGCGGACGCTAGCTCAAGAAATGACACCTGATGCGAAGGTGAAACTAGGCTGCAAATACCAGGCGCCGGACGGTAGGAAACACCTCGTCGCATCTGCGTCTGGAACAAAACCAGTGAACGGTAGGATTTCGGGCTATTCATCCACGCCCAGCTTGCACGTCTGTACCAGTCCTTGATAGTCTATGCCCCATCATCGTGAACTGTCGAACTCAGGTGCTTGTGAGAGGAGGGCTACAAGGGCTGATCCTCGACAGCCCGGAGCACAGCGACAGGACGAACACGAAGAATGCCAACGGTTGTACCCTCCGGTCGTGCCAACGCTGCAAAGTACCACGTCGCCATCTCGGCAACCCGCGCTACGACATCCGGCAAAATCGGCGGACAGCCGAAGGCGTCGATGCCGATATCGAGTACGTCAAGCAAGGGGCCACCAAGACCGAGCGCGTCGAGCGCGCGAAACAACGTGGCGTCGTGGTCCCCAAGGTGTCCAACCCCCTGAAGAAGCTGACTTTCGATCGGCAGCTTCAGGTACCGTTCGACATCCTGCATGCGGACAGCCTGGTAAGTGGTTTCGTATGTTGTCTGGGACTACATCTGAACGTAGTAGACGTTATGGCGTGTGCTCGAGAGAAACGTAGCGCTCTACATTTTGGTCGTGTCACCACCCACCCACCCCCTCACCCCTGCCCGACGTGTTTGCACATCCGGATCCAACCGTGATACGTGATGCTCCCCTCGCGTGTAACCCCCATACCCTTCATTGCCACCCCCCCCCCCCCCCCCCCCCCCCCCCCCCCCCCCCCCCCCCCCCCCCCCCC